AAGAATTACACAAAACTATTGGAAAAAAAGAAAAGGCCAGACTGGCTTCACAATAGTATACAAGAGATATAAGTACTTTTTCCACCAAATGAACGAAGAGAAGATCAAAGCCCAGTGCATGCTGAAGAACAGCTGTTAGCATCTTTATTTATTGCAGAGATCTTATTAATGATTTAATCTTCCAAGGTAACAAACAAACACATCTCCCTTGAATGACTTCATAATGTTTAGTCAGATCTTGTCTCTACTGAAGAAGGAAACTTTACTTGTCTCACTACTCTATAACTCAAAGTCAGTTATACTTGCAAAAAAAGAACAAAAGGAAATAATTACTAATTTTTCAATACATATAGGACACATACATTGAATATGTACATGGTTGTGAAATACACAGGCACTTTCATCTTGGTCAGGCTGAGTGTGTACCCTAGCACAGCCTGAGTGATTAATGCAGCAGAACCCAACTGGCTTCTTTGTTTCACTGCTATTGAGTACAGAGGTTCAGTCTGCTACCCCACACTGTTTATGCACATTTACAAGGGGGAGGTTCCAAGCAGTTGAGCTGCTCCCCTTCCATTTCCCTTCCTTGGCTTTTGTCTCTTACCCTGTATTGCTGTGGGTGCTTTTCAGATCCCTCTCCATGAGCTAAAGCATCTAGCAATAAAACAACCCAAGGAAGTAGAGCTTTCTGCAGGCATAAGGAGCTAGATCAGCTGAGCAAAGATTCCAGCAGGAAGGTGTGAGGAGGAGGAAGTGGTGAGACTGCAAGGAAGGCAGGAAAGAGAAATTAAACCTTTCCCCTTCAACAGCAATGAGCTTTTGGATCAGCTTAATTCCCTGCGGAACCAGAGGTCCGGCTAACCAGTCAGAACCTTTCCATGCTCCACACTAGCTGTCTGCAGGATCACTGGACAATGCATAACTTATTATGAGTAAATGTAGAAATTTTAATGCATCTAGAAGAACAAACAGGGCAAACAAAATTAGGCAGAGAAAAAAAAAAAGCCAAAAAATGCCTCACCCCACCCAAACTATGGAAATCATCTAAAATTCTGCTCTCTGGAAAGCTGAGGATACCAGTTGTCATTGCCCCCATCTTTGGTGCACAAAATAATGGTGATCTTTTAACTGCAGAGACAAATGTATGGAGTTCATTCCTCTGGGGAAAATAATAATCTAACACACTAACGAGATCAAATCTAAACCACTAAGAAAAACATGGACATCATATAAAATGCTTCCCCTTTTGCAAAGGGGGGCTGAGTAGGAAATGACAGCATATTGAAATGGACTTAATTCGTGCACCTCATTGCAGCCATAAATGAAAATGCAGAAATCAAAGTATTCTATATTTTAAAAAAGCAAAACACTCACAAGGATAGTAAAAATTTAAAATATGCCATATCTAAAAGTAGTTGGTTTCCCAAAATGAATTGCTTATAATGTATTGAGTTTCTTACCAAATAAATCTAAAAATAAGATCTTAAACTAGAACTTCATCATAGTATGATTTTGAGAAGAGAGATCTTTATGTCTCAATTTAAAAAAATCTTACTAGACTGAATGACATGTTTTCACTTAACTGAAGAACTAAAAAGATAAATGTTGCTATTTCAATTTAGATTAAAACATTAATTTTATCAATCTGCCAGCTTCACTCCCTTTGCTACATCTTCCTTTTGGATAATCTCCAAATATTTCTTTTTCAAAAAGCCATTGATTTAAAGGTGTTGCCAGCTACTCTAAGGTGTAACTCATTCTAAATATATTTTTATACCAAGATCTAATTTTTTTCATAGATCTGCTTTTTTATAGATCATTTTCCTTAAGGAAAGAGAGGGAAAAACTTGAAATCACTAGGACAATGTTAGCCATTAGCATTTTCTTTTATAAATCAGACACATTATTTATTAAAAATTAATATAAATTCTGTCATTGATTTCAAATGAGTTACTACTGTAAGAAATTAATATAGAAACAGTGAAGCAAAGAACTACCTTGCTCAGTACAGATCTAAATATCACCTGAAAAAGAAAGGAAAAAATATCTGACAAAAACACAATGAAACTTCTCCCATTTAATATAATATAGATTCACCCTACCTTAGGAAGGCTAGAATTTATTGTTGTTGTATAGATAACATTTTGCTGAAAAGAAAATGTTAATTAATTCACCTCTAATTTACTGAGAACTAACAAGTAATCAATAAGGAAAAAAAGGCATGGAGATAACTTCTCCTCAGACAACTTACTGAAACACTAAAGTTCAGGAGAGTGGAAGCTGAAAAGGATGTAAGAAAGCTCATCATCTCTTCTAGAGCTGAATGCAGGAACCAGGCACCGGTTTGAAACCAGTTCAAATTAAAAGTTCTCGAACCAGTTTTTTGGGTCAGGGAATTTACTGTTTTCAGTACATATTTGTTTATATGCTGATTTTACTTCTCACAAATAATGACAGTGCTGCTTTGTTCATTCTAGCTCAATATGCCTGAGATAATATTTTAAACCTGTCAGACTGCTACAGAAGTGTCATTTCCTCATATTGTGCTGGTCTCAAGCACTGGGACTGAAACTACTGTAAAATCTGCGTAAATATAGGTGATACACACATACACACACACATATATATATATATATTTAGTTAGCACAAGAATTCAGGGAAATATGAGAGCTGAATATGCTCTTTTTGATTTTTAATCTTCCCTTCACAAGAGAATTGAAACAATATTGAGTAAGGAAAAAAAAAGGAGCCAGTTTTGATACCATTCTTGGTACTCTTAGTGATCAATTCAGTCTTAAAAACAGAGTAAAATTGAAATTAAACTTATACCTCTAGATTTTTATTTTTTGTTACTAAGCACCTCCTGCTCAACTGAATTATATATCTCAACTTTAAGAATAATATATGAGGAGGTTTGCTGAACAGAATGGGTTAAAAAAAGCATAAACCTGTGCTCTGTATTTTTTCAAAAACTCATCTGCTATTCTGAAGACAAAAATAGACTTTCCTTTTCAAAAATAGCTCTCAAGAGCCAACAAAGCAACTGAGTGAAGCACAAGAATGCAAAGGATGTCAGCTTGCCAACAGATGAAATTTAAGTGAAAAACCCATCCCCCCAAAAAAAGTCTTCAACACCACAGTGATTGGACTTGCAGCACACTCCTCACCAAGAAGGATTACAAGAATGTTTCCAAAAAACAGATTAACAGGGGGAAGATGAAATTTATACAGGGCACTGGGAAATTTTCAGTTTCTTTTAAATGTGGTACATCTCAGAAAATGTCATATCACTCCACCCCTTGGTAAGGAAAATGCAAAGTCCAACCACTCATCTGCCCCCCAGCATCAGCATTCGAGGAGAAAATGGGAGTTAGTTAGAAAAGTGAGGAGAGAGCCACAATGAGTGGTTTGTAGCTCATGTTCTTGTAGAGAAACCTTCAAGGCACAAGGCAAACCATAACTCAGCCATAGCTGCAGTGAGATCTGCCTCATGCTCTAATGTAGATGCCAAAACTATGCATATTAAAAATTCTGGCTTCAGAATTATTTCAGGAAAAGATACGAAAGCATCTTCTAAAGTAGGTCTACAACCATATTTCCCAAAAGAAATGAGAAACAAAGGAGACATGGAAGACACTGGATAGGCCTTTAAAAACAAGGGATGATAATAAGGTGGAGGAAAAGGGTAAAATGCACTTGGTTAGGGATTTAATTTATACAAAAATAACCCTACTGCCAGCATCAGTTAACTATAATTAGAACTACATGTTAGAAATTAATCCAACATATATAACCTCACCTTTATAATGTCATTATCATTATAATTTCTATGATATTTAAGAACTTAATTCCCTAGGAGTTTTATTAAAATTTGTAATACAATGACATCAGATACAAAAAGCAAGCCCCTACACTTTTATTTCCTCCTATAGCTGGATGCCTAAAAAACTGTGCTGTCTTGCAGTCCAGAGACAAACATGTGCAGCTGGTCAGATGGTGAAGCTCAGTTTCCCCCTAGAGGGAGGATTTATAGATCTGATAAATTCATTCTCTAGGAAGGTAAAAATCTGCTTCCAGACTATCACTGAAATTGCAGTGATGGACAATTGGGTGATGTAAGGTAGCACTGGCTACTAAATTACTGAGCTGCATCAGCTGCTACACACAGGATGCCACAACAGTGAAAACTGAAATGGGTAGGGATGGACAACAAGCATCATTCCTTGAGCATCAGGACTCCATCAGGCTGCAGACTGAATCCCCACCAAAACAACAATATATGGGATTATGAATTCTGTGCAATTATCACTAGTAAGGAAGCAAGACTTAAAAATTAGTCTTACAAACAGTTATTAGAAGATTTGGGATTTAGTAGTGAGCAAACCTGCAGATTAAAATGACCATCAAAATTAAAACAGTGGTTTTTGCATCTATTTGCACATCAAAGTCAATTTTGCTCTTTGGAAATTACAGCATGAAGATCAAAAGTATAAGTAAAACGAAAATATCAGAGGTTTTCAAGGCAAAATAACATTTTCTTTACTTGGCTCTTTAGTGGCATAAGATTTCCCAGTGTAAGCTTGTTCCCAGATGCAAGCAGCTGCTACACACACATTTGTCCAGGAAACACATGGTTAGAAACATACACTCCTAATTTTAGTGAAGATGAATATTTTAAGGCCATCCTGAGTGAAATCGGAATACAAATGTTAAAACTGGCTTCTGTTCATCCCTACACAACGTGACAAGCATTTGCTTACTCTAGGACTGCAGAGGAAGCTTTTAAGACCATGCATATTTCACCATCTACTTTGCTGCTACTTTGCAAAATTCCAGTGATATGAACTATTATTACCTCAGATACTGGAGGGTGGGCAAGGGAATCCTAATTCTGTTATCCATGATTTTTAATCTTGATTAAACCAAACTGGTAACCAGCAACTTCAGATGAGCATGGAGCCAGGAAACAAGAATATGAAATGGAGAAAGATTCAACTTACAATTAAATCTTGAATAAGTGAAATGGAAAGTATCCTCTTGGTGCCATTCTCCACAATTACTCCAAGCCAATTAAGTGCACCCCAGTACCACAGATAACTCTGACCTCCGTGCCAGTAGCTCACAAAGGCAAAAGTGAGGGCTGTAGATAACAGTGTTCCAAGCAAACTGGACTGAGATCCTCCCATTGGAACATAAATGTACCTGCAGGTGAAATGACAAATATGCAGTGCTGTTAGAGATTTCACAGAAATCTCAGAAAAACATCCACCACAGAACAAATGTGTCAATTTGTAGCATAAAAAAGAATGTGAAAAAACTACCTGATGTGTTCTATTTACAGAGCTTGCCCTATTTTCTGCAAAGCTGCAGATCACTTCATGAAACATGTGCATGTACCATTTGGCAAAAGGACAATTTTGTGGTCCTGGGAACTCTGCATTAGGCAAATACTTAGCACAAACTATATTCTCAAAACTGAAATTAGCAAATATTCAATTTTTTAAATTGGAATAGTTGTAAGTCAGCTACAGAAATTACCTGTAATCTTCATGTGAATTTGAATTATAAGATTATTAACAAAAAATTTAAAACATTATATAAAGTCACATACAGTCACAACCCATAGACGACTGTAACCCATATGTCAGGAATGTAGATGCATGCAAACATACTTTATTACTAAAAGGTTGTAATTTCTTTCCTTTGAAATATTTCATTAAAAATTATGTGAACTGTAAATAATTCCTATCTGGTTCTTCTATTACACTCTCAGGATCATGTCAGTCATATGACCTTTGGGGGACTCGTACCAAAAACGCCTGGAAACCCATATGAAACACTCTCCATGCAATTATATTCTGCATTTAAAATGAACTCAGGAGTCATAACCTTAGTCATTAATTGATGCTTATAAGTGTCCAGAAAGCAGTGCTGCTTCAGAAAAAATATCAGAAGCAATGGGATTCTGAAAGCTGACACTATTTTGTGGGTCATTTCACTTCCAGCCTGAAGAGCTACATCCACTCCCATCATTTTCTGATTAAGGCATGACCACTGGCCAGACACTGTCTGAAAGAGTTACATATTTCTGTCAACACTTTGAAGAAGCCCATCAGGCAGGGGAGTCACCACCCAGCTCATGGGTACCAGCAAGGAGATGTGGTATCTGAGAACCACCAGTGACAGCTCTCCTCAGCTGTCATTCCTTTGGCATGAAAGTCTGTACTCATATCTGAGACTATTCCTACTAACTAAGGTAATTCAGGGATTTTTTATTTTCCAGTGAAATTTTTATCTCTAGTTATCAGTTTTCATATTCAGGGATAAATATCATTTTAAAAATTTAAAAGGGAAATTAACACACTGCTTACTTCTAATCTTAGGAAGTAAGAAAATAAATAATGGGGAAAAATACAGTGATGAACATAATTAAAGGGTAAACAAAAAGTCATTAAAAAACAAGTGTCAAATGCTCTAAATTCTTTCTTAGCATAACATCAATACAGCTTTTTAATTCAATCTGCTACAGGGAACATCTGATTACATGTTTTTCAGTATAGGTGTGCTTTTTCACTAAGCATATGAAAAATAAATAGAAATTAAGATCAATAGCTTCTATTTATGTTGTGCTTTTCTTCTCTCCCCCCTTCCTATGTTTGAAGAGACACTTGCAATTGCAATCCATTAATCTAATGGCAGAGGGGTTTATCCCAGCAGTCTGCAGGCAGTGAGTGTCCTGCAGGGCTGTGACACAGAGGATAAAGACAGCAGAGCTGCACAGGCAGCCTCCACTGGCAATGGCATTGCCAGGAAGAGCTCAGCAGCATCAACACATTTGTTTCCAATTGCAGCTCAGTTTAGGTTGGCCTGAAGGGCTTTCAACTTACTGTGCAGAGAAAAATAGGCTATTTTCTGATTCTTAGTGTTTGACAACAGCAGCTAGATAATTGAGCAGCAACAACTCATAATTCTGATTAATGTTAAAGGTTAGTGAAGTTTTAGCTTGTAGGGAGGCTGATGGCAAACGTGCAACTGAAAATCCACTACCTGAAAACCTGTTTGGAGAAGGACAGCAGGCAAAAGGAATAACAAAATCTTTACTAACACTCTGACCTTCCCCTCCAGTACTGTGGAGAGCCTGCCTCCCTGCCCAGAGGAGAAATGGAAAGCAGAAAGCAAAGCCTCTCTCCTTCCCTGCTAGTGCCACGTGGAATTGGACAGGCAGCTGGCTGCCATTCCTTGTCACAAGGGCAGTGGCCACTCTCAGACCATGTGTCTTGCCTTCCCCTGTCAGGGCAGTTTTACAGAGATTATAAAGGATTGATAGATGTTGAGTCATTTCTCTTGAACAGAGTGAAGAGCAATTCTGTAAGTTTCAGTATTTTTCACTCAGGAAAATCTTGTGAAAAAGTCATTACAGAACACGTCAGGGGAAAAAAGTATTTGCTGCCTTATCATCCATGCACATCACAGGCAGTGATGTAGGTGTGCATGCCCTGCTGCACTGGCAGGCTTGCCTACAAGCAATGGCAACTCTGCAGGGGCAGAGCATGGCTCAACACCAGGCACTCTGTGCTCTCTCATTACCAAAACACTCCAACAGCCAAAACTGTCCTGCAAAACAACCATGCCAGAACTCTCCTTGCTGCAAAGATGCATTTTCCTTATTTTAGAGCAACCTGGTAGTTTGAGAATCTCATTTCTCTATACTTCCCCTGTGTGTTTACACAGAAGAATACTCATTTGATTACAAAAAGCTGCACAAACACTTAAGTGTGAGGGAGAATAACCCTGGGAAAAGCATTATTAAGCCAGATGATAGAAGATATTAGTTCTGTATTATCAACAACACAACACACAGTTTGTAACTAACAATTTGGTGTGTTTAACCTTGTCCAGCACCTACACCCTACACAGCCCCTCGTTCACCCTTCCCCATGGGAAGAAAAGGAACCTCTTACAGTGCATTCAGAAGCTTGTGCTGCCCTCCACTTTAGTAAGGAAATCTGTGAGGAGGGAAGGAAGGAGGCAGGGAAAGAGTTTAAGGGGTAATGGCTACTACAAATCAATGTCTTTTATATCTGCATGATTCCTAACTTTTCTTCTTCTTACCAATGCTTCTATCTACCTGCAATCTTTCCCTGCAGTCCCTCTGTACTGTAAACCCTGTACTTTACTCAGGGTTTACACAAATGGAGAGGTTGCTGTAGAACATGCTGACCTGCTGCACCATAAGTAGAACAGCATTACATAAATATCTCATTTTAAGCTTCCATGCAGCTTTTAAGATTATTCCCATTTCTAATCACAGAAAATCCACACAGAAGTTCAAAATCCCTGGTTTGGAGTCTATTAGCACATAAAAGTAACCATGGGTACTCATGACAGCCTAACTCAACTCAAAGGAACACCCCTGTAGTAGAGTTTCTTAACAGGTCTTGAACAGATGACACATTTATTCTACAAGTGTAAGGAGGGCAGAAAAGCTGAAAAATCTGGCAGCAATATACAACAAATTTATTTTAACTCACATGCAGAAAAAGAAAACTCAGCAGTTACTTGGTGGTAAATAAGCCAAAAGTGGACTAACAAAGGAAAGCAGCAAAATATTTCGCAAGGAGAAAAGGATGTTGAGTTAAGTAGATTTGAGGGTAGTAATTGGTCATGTCCCTCCAGGCTGTGTTAGAGGGATGGCCAGCAATGGTGCCCCTTAAAATCCATGAAAATTACAGACAAGAAGATTAGACCTGTGGAAAATGCTTGGTATCAAAAAAATGCAGGCTAGGTGAGTATTTAAAAATAAAACATTAACTTAGGGGGCCAAAAGTCAGTCACTGCCAGAGCTTCAAAGGAGAAATTTGAAGGTGAAGGAACAGCAATTTCTAGGCAGACTATCAGAGGGGAACATGGAAACACCTCAGGCCAGGCTTTGCCAACCATCCCTGGGCTGGGGCTGGCCAGACCTCCCTTAAGGACAACAAGGGAAGGTACTTCATGCTGTCAGAAGAAAAAGTTATGCATATTACATGGAGAGAAGGGGGAAGAGAACTCCATGTCATTAGAATCTCAAAACATCTGGGGTGTGTTAGAAGCACATAAATACAAATATTGAGAGAATGTTATATAGTAAAAATTATTCGCACGCACACCCCCATACCTGACATGACCAAACATACATTCCTAGCCTTCCCCTCCCAAGGCAAAGATGTCAGACTTAAACATATCTCTGTGTTTTCTATCTTTCTATTTCTCTTTTGATTTCAAACTAAAACTTACATGCAATCAGACATGCTGCTTTCACAAACAAGGCATCCTTTGAATGTGCTTTTCCCAAAGTGCATTACTTTTAGTCCAGGTACAGCACTTTAAATTACCTTATCCACAGCCAGCAAGCTGTTTCATTTACACAACTTATCTTCATTTTAACTCACTAAGCGAACATTAGAGAATTGGATAAAATATGCAAATGGTACCATTTAAATCCCTACAGTAATGCAAACACAAACATAATAGCTGAAGTATTTAAAAGTGACATTTACTTACAGAGAATACCTTCTAAATCCAATAACCATTTTGTTAGTTTTCTTGAAGTGGTAATCTCCAGAACAATCATAAGAGATCTGACAAGCATTGCCTTGAAAAACACACTACATTATAAAGTTTTTATTCTGGTAACTTCAGAAGACCTCTAAAACAAGCATTTTTAATCAGTTAAGAATCATTCAGGAGGGCTATTATTCCTTGAGACCTCCACATACTGCTCTTACTTGCACATGTAATTTTAAACATATTTAAATTTTGAAGAAAGTGCAAGTAAAGCACCCATTTAACTGCTGCTCTGTCCAGGACCTTTCTTCAACATGTGCCTGAACTTCCTCCTGAAGTAAGGTAATAAAGCAAGGTGCATGCTATACATGATTTTTTCCCCTCTCTTAGGCATTGATCTTGGAACATCTAATCCAGAATGAGGTGAAATGTGGAAAAAAAGAAAAAGTTAATTTGCTTGCAATGGTGAAGTAAATACAATTAATATATGGGGATTTTGTGTTTTATTTCAGGGAACATTCCAATGTCTCTGTAAGTTTCAAGCATTCAAGGGTTAAGTGTGTGACCATCACAGGGTTTTGAATTGCGCAATTACAGAGACAACACAGCAAAAATTTAAAAAGCAATAATGCAGTTTTCATCTTGCATCCTGACAC